CTATGTATTTCCACGTCGTCTTATCTTACCGGAGAACACCTGGCACATGCTATCTTACCGGAGAACACCTGGCACATGCTATCTTCCCGGCCCTTCCATGGCATCTCTCTTTTGGCGGGCTGGGCTCCCTCTGCCTCCTTTCCCAGAATTCTCCACGTCAACTCCACCCGCCTATCTTCCTGCCTCTATTCGCCAGTGCTTAATCATCAACCAATAAAAAAAAACGTATATGCAGAAGGACATCCCCAATCAGTTGCACTTCTTTGTCTTTTTTTTTTTCTTTTCTTTTTTTTTTGAGAGGTCGTTTCTAACATTGCTTCAGAATAAATTGCATCTTTCAGTGAATGAGTGGGGAGAATTGTGATCCAATTTAAGAGAGGATGACATGCTGTCTTTTGTGACAGCATGGGTAGACCAGGGTGACAGCTTTCAGTAAAATCAGTTAGCCAAACACTGCTCATCAGTCAGAGGGATTAGCTAGGAGTATGCATTATTCATTCAGAGTTTGGAAGAGGTTTTTAGCACAATGCTAAACTCAGAAATCACAGGTAAGTCTGGACATTTCAAATTTGAAGGTGCTTAGAAATGTTCAAAAATAGAAGCAAAGAGAAGAAAAGAGGAAGGACTGACAGATGAACTGACCTTCCGGAGACCAGTGGAACAAGTGGGCTTTCTTGGGGAGCTTAAAGGACACTTTGAGTATCACCTTAGTAAAAAATTTTTAAAAAATAAAAATCATGATAATTTCCTTGCTAAAGACGTTTTTTGCCAAATATAAACCACAGAAAATGAAGGTTGAGGATTTTGTATGGAGTCAAAATCCAAAAGACATTGCATAATGCTTGCAATCTTCTAACCCTAACAGTTGTCTTTCTTGTTAGTTTAAACATGAGCTCCCTTCTGACTTGGAGATGTATAGAAATAAACAAGCATAGAGGTTAAGTCAGTGGAAGCCTTTTTTAAATGGTACTCATTTCTGAGTTTTGAAAAAAAACATATATTTATAATGTCTCCATCACAGTGAAATATAGACCTCTAACTCCACCCAAATTCCCCTGAGGCCCATTGTGGATTCTTCCCAGACACTGCCTTCCTGTGTTCCCAAACCGTGGCCACCCCTGACCTGACATTTGCTGTTCCTGAAGCTGTGCACATGGATTTCTACATCTGGCAGTCATCTACGTATGACACCAGTGTCACATACAAACAGTTGGCCTTAGATTTATGTTCCAAGCATCACTAACCCATGAACGGTTTCAGATTCAGAAATATGAAGGCAGCTCAAAATACAACATCTGCTTTTATTTTGCAGAAGGTTAAGAAAAACCAACAGGAAAACTGTTGGATTAGATTAGTTCAAGCAGAAATAATTCTCAAGTCAGGCTACAGGACAGTTGATTTTGTAGCTGTCCTGCAGCCTGACTTGAGAATCAACCACATAGCTGTGTAGTTTCTTTTCTCTTTCTTTCTTCCTTTCTTCCTTCCTTTCAATAGTTCCACAGTCACTAAATTGTTTCTGTCACTCTGTGATTAAGTGGTGTCATTTCTACAAATATGGTGTATTTTTTCTAAATTGCTCAACTAGACAAATTCCTTTTCATTTTCATGCAATTTGAAAGTTATCTTGAGCTGGAGAGATGGCACAGAGGACCCAGGTTTAGTTCCTAGCACCCTCATGGCTATTTACAACTGTCTGTAACTCTAGTTCCGAGGGATTCAACACCGTCTTTTGGTCTTCTTGTGGATCAGACATGTACAGCATGCAGAGACATACACACAGGCAAATCACTCATGTGCTTTATAAAATAAAAATAAATGTAAAAAGGATGAAATCATCTTGACAATTTCTTTGAAATGCTCAATATCCAGAAATATGTTGGGAAGAGTTTCTTTGATTCCTAACTTGTTAAGGGTTTTTGTTAATTTGAACTAATGTTAACTTTTTCACATGGTTTTGGACAGCCTGTTAAAATGCTCCCATATTTCTCCCATTAATTATGTCAATGTGTTCTATTACAATTATGTGTGTGTTTATTAATTTTTTTCCTTATTGGGTTTTTGGAAACTGACCCTTGTGTATTTCAGGCTGGCCTCAAATTTCCTATGTAGCCAAGGCTGGATTTGTACCCCTGACTCTCCAGCTTCTGCCTCTCTAGCACCAGAAATACAGAAGGGTACCGATGTGTCTGTCTCATTGACTGGAGCAGGCCTTGCACATGCAGTCATTGGCTGCCCCATGTGAGAGCTGGGAGCCAAACTTGGGTCCTCTAGAAGAGCAACAACTGTCTTTAACCCCTCTGCCTCTTGCTGATCCAGGCCACACCCAACCAAGCCCCACAGTGTTTCCTCCAGTCCCAACCAGTCTGGTCTTATGGAACTAAATCTATGGGTGGTTTTTCATTATTCTTTTTCATCCTGATCTTCACTCTTTCTGTTTCTTGCTCCTTTATTGGCTCTTGGTTCAATAACTGGAAGACCATAGCAACAATTCTGTTTTCCTTTCTTCTAGTCTTCCGTGAGCCATAGACATCATTTGTAGACCAGGAACTTCTGTGAAGGGTGTTTGCAATGGGAGCGTACAGGCCAAATCTACAGATGATTCTGGGCAAATTTCTTTTTCCTTAAAAGGTTCTTGAAGTTGATATTCTCATATTTATATTTTTCAGGTAAAAAGCTCCAAGGACAATGTTTCAGAATCGTCTCTGTTGAGTCTCCTGTTAAGCTTTACTGCTGCTATGGAGTGATCACTGTCCTCACTGTAGCTGTTTTTGCACTTTCTGTTGCTTTGTCAGGTAAGTGGCTCATTCTCAAAATTCTGCAGCATTCTGTCCACGTTTACATTGTCAGTTATACTTACATACCTATACTGTGAGGAAGGACTCACTCTAGGAGGGACTCTAAAGAAAACTCACTAGAAATTCATGGTCTCTGGGAACTTACTGTCTAGCAGGAAGACGTAGTGAAGGACAGCACAGGCTGTGGTGTGCACAGAAAGCCAGGCTCTGCATCCCTGGGAAGATGACATTCAGTGACCTCTAGAGAGAGATGCAGAAGACCTATGTCCTCCTGGGGGAACAATTCAAGGCAGAGAACAAGAAGAGGAAAACTCAAAGCAGGAGCCTCAAGGAAGTGTGAGGGCAGAGAAGAGTAACCTGGCCAGTAAGATACAGCACCTCCCCCATTACCATGTTCAACTGTATTTTGAAAGCAGTCAATGAAAGGTTTTTGAGGTGATCAATTTTAGATCTGTTTAGAATAGTGTAATGAAAGTCTTGTACTGTTGCCATCTGTGGGGTGTCATCTTTCCTCCTGGGCCCTAGGTTGAGAAGGGAAAGATGCAGAAGGGGTGCAGAAAGCTTTGTATGCAGCCCATGAGCACGGATGAAGGGAGGCTTCCAGGAGACAGACCGGTGAATCAACTCAACTTTATTCCAGAGTATAAGGAATATATAGAACTGGGGAGCCCGGGGACAAACCCCAATTTGTATTTAGTGGCACACTCCTATCATAAGACTTGATATGTGGCAGTAGGGTCCTATAGCAGAGCTTGTAGCACAAGTCTTCTTAGCAGGGATCTGTATCAAGGGTCAAGCTAAAAACAAATCAGGCATCTGGTTTTAGAGAGAGGCATCTGCTTTAGAGACAGCTTTCAGATAAGGTTAGTCCTCCAGGCCCAAGGACAACCTCCAGATAAGGCTATTAGAGAGCAGGAAGCTTCATTGGGGAGGGAGGGAGTACCAAATTGTCAAGTTTAGAGAGAAAGCCGCTAGGCTATGGCAGACTGTGGCCTCTAACCAGTCAGCAATGTATTCTAACATATGAACAATCCCTTAGAGCAACATGTCCACACTGTATACGCTACCTTCCCAATAGTACTCACTGTTACCTCAATTATCAGGCTGACTGTCAAAATAGGTGTCCATACAGAGTGATTGTTGCTCTAGCAACCCCTACTGTAGTGAGCAACCATAAAGCACAAAAAGTGATGACATTATAGAAATTCACTTCCTGGGAGCCCTATTATCAGTGGGAACCCCAGAGATATTGGGGCACAGGTCAGTGCTGGGATGCCTTTAAATAAAAGACCATCATGCTAAGGAGAGGATTTCTACAGATCAGTTACAAAAACTACAGTCCAATTCAGAGCTGAGCTCAGTGGAGTATGCCAATGCTTGTTATAATTCATTGTGTTGTCCAAATTTTAGTGAGAAGATCAGAACAGACCCCAGACAAATATACCTATGCTTTTTGCCCGAGAAACTGGATTGGATTTGGTAGTAAATGTTTTTATTTTTCTGAAAACACAAATGACTGGACATTCAGCCAGAACTTCTGCAAAGAACAAGAGGCCCATCTAGCTCAATTTGACAGCGATGAGGAGCTGGTAAGAAAGGATCAGGAGTCGCTTCTTTTGTTTGTTCTGTTTAGTATGTACTGCCTTGAGCTAGGGAGGTTAAAGATGAAACACGAGGAAGGATTCCATGCCACAGAGAGGGAGACATGGGCAACATGGGAATGTGTGCCATTTGCTGATGGTAACACTTCTGGTTGGATCCCTGAGACATTCAAGAAACATTCTCTCAGGTAGTGCTCACAGTCAATCTGGAAGGTCAGATCTGACATTTTATTGAGATACTTGGTGGTCATGAGCAATTTTCTCCAGGCTACCATATGTTGCATCCTGAAGGTGACAACTGTTAATAACTGTGGGGGGAGGCTTAGCCAGGAACTGTCCCAGCCACAGAGGGATATGTCATTAAACTTACTACTTTAATTCAAATATGGTACTTAAGAGTTTATAGATGTCAACTGGATCTACTGATAACTGAGGGCTATTATGACTCCAAAGTCTGTGTCCCTCAGTTACACCCTCCTGTCATCTAATGAGGAAGATGTGGGGTGGGGACGCTCAAGGGTCATCTGAAACAGAAAAACACATATATTCACTTTCTGTGTTCTATGACAGGAATTCCTGAAGAGATACAAAGGGGCTTTTGACTACTGGATTGGCCTGCGCAGAGAGTCACCAGAACACCCTTGGATGTGGACAGACAACACTCAATATAACAGCTCGTATGTTTTCATACCACTTTTCCTTCTTACGTATTTGGTTGTGAGCCTAGCCTTTAATGGCTGAGCTATCCCTCCTTCCTGTTATGATCATTTGTTGGGAAGTGTGTGAGTTATGTCTCTAGAAGAATGGCTGTGTCGTGTAAACATGACTGTCCAGCCTCAGAGGGACACTGCACTGGCCATCATTTTTAAAAGCTTCACGGTGTGATTTCACTCAAAATCTTTACTGGGATGATGGCATCTGGGGTAGCTATTGTCTTCTCCTTCACCAATTTAAACTTTTTGCTGTTGATAAATGCCCTGTGTGGAATGGAGACAAATCTCAGGTGGGCAGCGAGGGCTCTGAAACTTCAGGAAGCCACTGCAGAAGTGCAAGACTCACAGTCCACTGTCTGCAGGGCTACTCCTGTTCACAGAAGCAGAGACTCCAAGAGCATTGGAAACCTCCTCTAAAGTCTTGTAATCAGAGAGCACCCAAGACAGTTCTTGGATGGAGCATGGCTGTTTTGAATGGAGTCATTGTACTGGAATGTTTGATCACAAGCCCCGTCTTGCCCATCAAAGCTCTTTCAGCGATTTACTAAGAAGAGGGTTTCCCATATGTAAAATGCTCCAAAACAAAATTGAAAAGTCACCCTCAGTGAGGCCACCAGGACTGTAGTCCATTTGAACATGGCATCAAGCACCAGTCAAATGCTTTGTACATGCATTACAGGGTTCAACATGGATGAATGGCAAACATATGGTGTTCAAATCAAACCCTGAGAATGTAAAAGGCAGCAGGTGCAAAACAAAGGCAAATGATTCCTCATGCACTCTGCCTTCCTTTGATTCCTATTACACACAAGCAGCGGAGACAGGCAATGTTTCATTGCTGGTGCGAATGCAGTTCTGGGCTCTGCAGATTGACTGTTTTTGGTTTATTTTCAGGGTTCTCATTGGAGGAGTGGAGGAATATGCCTACCTGAATAACAATGGGATCAGCAGTGCCAGAGTCTATGCAGACAGGAGGTGGATCTGTAGCAAGCCCAGCAGCTATGCTCTTCAGTGCCAAATTCCTTTTTCTTCTTTCTAGCCTTTGCTAAGAAATGCTTTGTAATCTGCTATCTACAGTTGCTACTCTGTCCCCTATCTTCCTATCAGAAGAAACTGTGAGTTCAAGGCCAGCTCAGTCTACAGTTCTAGGATAGCCAAGACTACCCAGGGGGGGGGGGGGCTGGTAGAGAAAGATAGAAAGAAAAAGAGACTCAGAATGACAGGTGTGCAATGCACACCTGTAACTCCAGCTGCTTCAGGGTTGGAAAGGGGGGGGTCACAGGCTCACAGTGGGAGACTGAAAGGATGGGGATAATTTAATAATGACAGTTGACCATTTGCACCATCCCATAATTTGGGTTTCTCTGTATCTTTGGCAGCTGTCCTTGAACTCACTCTTGTAGACTAGGCTGGTCTGGAACTCAGAGATCCGCCTGCCTCTGCCTCCCGAGTGCTGAGATTAAAGGCGTGCACCACTAATGCCCAGTTACATTCTTTTCAAAATTCATTCCAATATAAGAAAGAATTGAAATAATATTTAAAACTAAGATTTACTTTAAACTCTGCAATTTAAAACATTAGTGACATTGTCAAAATGTTTCTCTAGATTTCAATTCTATTGTTCTAAGTACATCTTACAAACAAATGTCATGTTAGTTTCACCATTTGATTGGATTTATTTCACACCATATTGAATGTTTCTGAAACATTCAATACTTAATCTATCAGTAGTATGTATACTATTGAACCCTAAAAATCAAAGTATTTAAAAGCTTCACAGAGTAGCTATACTGTACTGATGAGTCCCAAAAAGGACGAAATAGCAGGTTACAAAGCATCCTTGGCCTCTTCATCTCTCCCTCTCCCTCTTGTTCTGTTCAAAAATACTTTTATACCTAGTTCTTTTATGTATTTAATTTTAATGTAAACAAAAATTTATTTTATAAAGGGGATAGCAGAAGCCTGGCATTGGAGGCGCACGCCTTTAATCCCAGGACTCGGGAAGCAGAGGCAGGAGGTCTTTGAGTTAGAGACCAGCCTGCTCTACAGGAAGGGAGGGAGGGGAAATAATATACACAATAAATAAATTTAATTAAGAAAAAAGTGCAAATGAGTAATGTATTATGCTTATTTAAGGCTATGCTTTATTATTTATTAGATGAATGCAAGTATATTTTATTCTGGAAAATGACTTTCTCAACACCCCCCCACACACACACACACACTTCATTTAGCCATATTAAGCCTTTTTCCTTGCAATCTGTTTTTACTTCCTGTACCCTGATAGGAAGATGGTAAACATCCTCAGGGACTAGCAGTGTGTTCGGAACAGGGGTCTTCAGAGCTGACCTGGGGGGTGAACCATGTTCTCACAATTATGGATGTGACTGGTTAGTTACAACTAAGTCCCTCACAAAGGAAGTTATATTTCTGCACAAAGTTTATTTTATATCATTGAACTGTGTAAACTTAATCTACAAAAGAAACTTGATAGGTTTATGAACTTATCTGACCCAATAATCTTGTGCAATGTAGACTTGAAAAAAAAAATGGTTTGCTAATACCAACTCCTAAAACTCAGGGAATGAGATGACCCAGGGAAATGTCTTTCCAGTGCCTCCATCTGACTCACAGTAAACACATGGTAAGTTTTCTTCCATTGCTCTGTGGAAATAATTGTGAAAAGAACAGTAAGTTTTCATGAGCATTGGCCCCTCTAAGGAATCCCCTGACAAGCTGCCCTGAGCTGTTTAAACCAGTTTCTTATAGGCAAGGGAGTTTACCACTAGTTAAATGAATCATTTAAACAGCATATAGGAAGTCAATCTTTTTCTTTCTTCTTGAATTCAGAGATCTCCCTGCCTCAGCCTCCTGAGTGCTGTGTTTAAAGGAGTGTACCACCAAGCCTGGCCTAGGTTTTTATGGACTGGGGAGATAGGTCAGTGGGTAACAGTTTTGTTGTACAAACACAAAGACCTGAATTCAAATCCTCATTTTCCACATAAAAAGTCAAGCATGCAAGTCTCCAGGGGATAGAGACAGAAGGAGCCTCAGGGCCTGCTGGTCACCAGTCTGGTTCAGAGACAGACAATGTTTCACACAATAAATAAAGAATAAGTAAATTATGGCTATAAAAGCAAATGGTTCACATACATTATAGGAAGTATCCAAGTATATTGGGATTTACACCTTCTAGTTCAAATCCATCAAATTTATTCTTAAAATTTTTCTTTTTTATTCTTTGAAATTTTATATTTTATTGAAAATTTTTATGTCCATGTTCATCAAAGATATTGACCTATAATTTCTTTCTTTCCTTCCTTCCTTCCTTTCTCTTTCTTTCTTTCTTTCTTTCTTTCTTTTTCTTTCTTTCTCTCTCTCCCTTCCTTCCTTCCTTCCTTCCTTCCTTCCTTCCTTCCTTCCTTACTCCCTTCCTCCCTCCCTCCCTTCCTTTCTCTTTCTTTTTGTTGGATCTTTGTCTTCTTTGGGTATCAGAGTAATATCAGATTTATAAAAGGAATTTTAAAATATCCTATTTTTTTAAAAAGAGTTTGAGGAGTATTTGTGTTAGTTCTTTGAAAGTCTGGTAGAATTCTGCACTGATTCCATATGGCCATGTGCTTTGTGGGGGGATATGCAGTTTATAATTATTGTTTGTACCTCACAGAATGCAATGGGTCTATTTAAATTATTTAGTTCATCTTGATTTAGCTTTGGGAGCTTGAATTTATCTAGAAATTCATCCATTTTCTTTTTATATTTTCCAGTTTGGTAGAAAATAATGTTTTTAAAGTATGTCCTTATGATTCTCAGAATTTCCTCAGGGTCTGGTGGAAAGTTCCTTTCATCTCTAATTTTATTAATTTGGATTCTTCCTTTTGGTTAGTTTGGCTATAGGTTTGTCAGCTTTCTAAATTCTTTCAAACTAATTCTTTGTTTCATTGATTTATTTTGTAATTTTCAATTCAATTTCATTATTTTGTCCAGGATTTTGATAATCTCTTCCTATCTACTTTTCTTTGGGGGGGGTGTTGATTATTCTTGTTTTTCTAAGGCCTTCAAATGCATCAATAAGTTATTAATTTGAGATTTCTCAAAAAATTTATATAGGCATATAGTGAGTTAAGCTCTATTCTTGAAATTGCCTTATATTTTTTTATTTCACTCAATTATGGGAATTCTTAAATTTCCTTCTTGATGTCTTCCTTCCCTCAATTTTGATTCAGTAATGTGTTGTTTAGATTCCATGAATCTGTGCTATTTAATTGTTGATATCTAGCTTTAATACACAGTTGTCATATTAAATGCAGAATGTAATTTCAATTTTCCTATATTTGCCGAGACTTGCTTTGGGTCTTTTGATTATGAACACTAGTCCAATACCTTCTGGCCATCATAGTTTCCATTGAAAAATTTGCTGTTATTATGATGAGCCTGCCTTTGTATGTGATTTGGTCTTTCTCTCTGGCTGTTTTTATATTTTGGTTGTTGCTGTTGTTCTGAACTGTAGCGGTCTTGTCTAACTCCCTTTGCCTGCTACATGGCAACTGACTCTGGCAGGCTCTCTTGCCTACCTTTCCCAGACTTCTCCTCTCCTAGTCCCGCCTATCTTCCTGCCTCATTGGCCATTGGCCCAACAGTGTTTTATTCATCAACCAATAAGAGAAACATATACAGAAGGACATCCCCCCCATCACTGAACATTTAGTATTTTGACATGATGAGGGGTATAAACGAAGACTTTTTTGTTTTGCCCCATTCTGTAGCCACTTTTAAAATAGTCACTCAGAGACTTAATAATAATTACAAACCATTTGGCCTATTGCTCAGGCTTATTACTAATTAGCTCTTACAACTTAAATTAATCCATTTCTGTTAATCTATATTATATATTTATAATAGGCGTTAGCAGTTCTCTGGTACATCTTGTTGCTCAGACAGCTCACTGGCATCTGCTCCTGATTCCTCCTTTTCTCCTGTATCTCTGCTTTGATTTCTTACTTGGCTCTATCCTGCTTTGCTATAGGCCAAAGAAGCTTCTTTATTAACCAATGGTAATACAACATATTCACAGCATGCAGAGGGAGTTTCTTTTCTATTGTTGTCTGCTTGATGTTCTGTATTCCTGTCAGACCTTAATAGGCTCCTCTTACTTCAGATTAAGGAAAGTTTTTTTCCTGTGATTTGGTTGCAAAAATCTTTTCTACCTTTGACCTGTGCCTCCTCTTCTTCTGAACTTACTTTTTATAGGTTTGGTCTTTGCATAATGTCCAAGTTCCTGTACTTTTGGATTTGGGGGATAATTTGCATTAGATATTTTCTTTCATTGAATGATCTAATTCTTCTAACTTGCCTTCAAGACCCAATAATTTCTCTCCCACACGGTCAATCTATCGGTGATCTTGTTTTCTGATATTTGTTTGAATTCCTGAATTTTACATTTTAAATCCTATTTAATTTTTGCTTTTCTTCAGAAGCTCTCTATCCATTAAATTCTGTTTTCATTTCTTGGCTTTTCATAACTTCATTCAACCATGGTTTGGTGTGTTTGTTCTAGCATTTATTTATATTCTCTTTGAATTCTTTGTCTATTTTTGTATTGCTATTTTTGAAATCATTGTCTTGTACATCATCTGGGTTGCTTTTCTCAGGGGACATTACTCTGGACTTACTAATTTTTTCAGGGAGACTTGGTACTTTTGTTATTCATGTTTGCCCATTTGTAATGAGACTTAAGCATCTTTAGTCAGGTGGCAAGTACTTGTTACTGGTATGGAAATCTTGTCGAGCAGGTGTTTGAAGCTTCCGTTCATGTGTTTCAATGTGTCAGGTGGTAGACCAGCTGTGTGGAGCTTAGGGGTCTGTCTTTGGACAATTCAGTGTTGATGCTTCAGTCAGGTATCAGAAGTAGTCCTACCTTAGCTCAAGCTAAGTGAGGACTCTCAGGTTGTGAGCTGACACTCTGTGGTTGAAAACTGCAGCTCTATGTAAAAAGGAGTCATGTCACCTTTTTCTTCTTTATGTACTTAGTGCTTGGCTTTACCTGTAGCAGGTGGGTTGTATAAGGAAGCAAGCAGTGTCAACCAGGAGAAGCAGGCCAGAGGGCGGTGTCCTCTGCAGTCCTGCATCAGTTCCTGTATCCAGGTTCCTTCTCTAGTTTTCCTCAGCGATGAATGAACTGTGATGAGGAAGGGTAAGCCAATAAACACTTTGCTACGAAAGTTGCTTTTGATCAATATTTTGTTACAGCAACAGAGATACCAACTTGGACAATGGGGTCCAGGGTGTTACTTAAGCAGACAAGAATTAATAATAACTTCATCATCAGTATGATAGTATCATGTTAATTTGGAATTTTTACCTGAGTTATATATTTGATTTCTCAGGAAAAGTCTGCCTAGGAAAGTACCTAATACATTATCAAATAGATATTGAGACTGAGCAAGTGTACAATATTTTATAATAGTGACAATTAGCAGTGCTATGGTTGGAAGGGATGTGCTGTCCCTTCATGTATTGAAATTCAGATGTTTACTGTCTTGGCATCAAGAGTTGTGGCCTTTGACATGAGTAGATCATGGGGAGGAACCCCTATAAGTGGAATTAGTGCCCTTATAAAAGTGCACAAAGAATTCTTACCATTCTACCATGTGAAATCACAACATCCATGAGTCAAATGACATCAAATGTGCCACTTCAATTATTTTGGACATTCTATTGTTTATAAACTACCCAGCTTATGATAAATGTTATGGCAACATAAATGTACTAAAACAATTGGTATAAGCATATCATAATTACATAGTTCTGAAGACCAGAGGTTCAGAATGAATTGTATTGGACCAAATGAATACTAGGCCCATTTTTCTTTTGGGGAGTGGGGGTGAGAGCAGACTCT